AGTCTCCGTCTTCTTCTCTCTCTCTCTCCTCTCCCACTCTCTCTCTCTCTCTCTCTCTCTCCCCTCTCCCACTCCCTCTCTCTCTCTCTCTCCCCTCTCCCACTCCCTCTCTCACTAAAAGCAAAACTAAAACAGCAAATATCTTAGACAGAACAAACGCCTCTCACAAGAAGAAGAAAAGTCTTAATTTGCTTCAGCTGGGCCCAAGGAAAACAGGTGTGCGACCGCGTAAGAAGAGCCAAGTTACCCCCGAAATTGTGCGGTAAGGACGGTCGTTTTCTATGATAAGATAGAGGATGTTTATTATCATTATCATTATTATTGTCACCGTGTCACTTTCTCTCTCAGGATCTGACTGTCAAAGGAAAATAGAACACGAGGTTACGTCTATCCCTATCTCCATTTCTCTCCACTTCTTCCTTCTTATCTATCCTCCCCTATCATTCCCCTTCCTTTCCTCTCTCTCTAACCTCTCCTTCTCTCTCCACCTCCTCCCTCCTTCCTCCAATTCCCCTCCACCTTTCCCCCCTCCCTCACCTCTCCTCCCCTCCCTTCCCCTCCTTCACCTCTCCTCCACACCCTTCCCCTCCTTCCCTCTCCTCTCCTCCCTTCCCCCCTCTCACCTCTCCTAGAGGATGTTTATTATTATTATCATTATTATTGTCACAGTGTCACTTTCTCTCTCAGGATCTGACTGTCAAAGGAAAATAGAACACGAGGTTACGTCTATCCCCATCTCCATTTCTCTTCACTTCTTCCTTCTTATCTATCCTCCCCTATCTTTCCCCTTCCTTTCCTCTCTCTCTATCCAGTCTCCGTCTTCTTCTCCATCTCTCTCTATCCAGTCTCCGTCTTCTCCTCTCTCTCTCTCTCTCTCTCTCTCTCTCCCCTCTCCCACTCCCTCTCTCACTAAAAGCAAAACTAAAACAGCAAATATCTTAGACAGAACAAACGCCTCTCACAAGAAGAAGAAAAGTCTTAATTTGCCTCAGCTGGGCCCAAGGAAAACAGGTGTCCGACCGCGTAAGAAGAGCCAAGTTACCCCCGAAATTGTGCGGTAAGGACGGTCGTTTTCTATGATAAGATAGAGGATGTTTATTATTATTATCATTATTATTGTCACCGTGTCTCCACCCTCCTCTCACCTCTCCTCCACACCCTTCCCCTCCTTCCCTCTCCTTCTACTTTTCCCTCCTTCCAACGCCAAAGCCAATCCCTCACACACACCTCATGAACCATAGTACAATGCCCCTCCACACAGTCAGCGACTCTTTGGCGAATTTCTGACAGCTGGAGAGATATAGGTCGTGACGAAACTGTAGCCAAATTACCGTTGTCACAAGCCTGGTCTTCCCTGCCAGTCTTACACGCCATGCCACGTTAACGTTGGATGGAGCCAAGTGTTAATTTCGTTGGAAGATGCTAATTTGTGTGTGTGTGTTTTTTCGCCCGTGTTTTGTTATGATTGTGGTTATTATCATTGTTATTGTCGTCGCTGTTCTAGTTGTCTTTGTTGTTATTATGAGTATTACTGCTGTCGTTCTAACTGCATCTGTTGTATTACACAGAAAGTGAGAGAAAAAGAAACAGTTATGGTGGTGTGATATATGCATCGGTGTTTTTAAGACAGTCTGACATCCTTTCAGTTTGGTATCACTATCCTTACGTGATAAAAGTCATTCGCATCAAAAATGCATTATTGTCCATTAAAAGATTTTAAAAAATATACAATGTACTCTATTCTGGCCATGGATCCCAGAGTACCGCCAATGTACACATTTGACAAGTTTGAAAAAAAAAAAAAATCCTTCGTCGTGACCTTTCCCCGACCTTGCCATGACCTGTGACATTCTACGGCCCTTCCATGACCCTCCAACCCACGACTTTAAGATACACGATCATCTGCCTCATTTTGGTAAATCTTGAGTTACACGTCTCTATAGAGTCGACACATTTGGCACTCCGACGCGGAAGTGAGATATGTGAACGTGTGGGAGGGATGTGTGAGTCGGAGCGAAAGGGGGAGGGGGTGGGGAGGGGAGGGAGAGGTGTGTGAAAGTGAAGGTGGGTGTGAGAAGGTGGGTGTATATATAATATATGTATTAATAGATAAACAGAGAGACAGACAGACAGATAGACAAATGAATAGACACAGATTACTGGACAGAGATAGATATAGAGAAGACAGACAGGTAGATGAACGGATAAGCAGATAACCACCACCTGATGTCAGCTGTTTACAATTCTACACAAAAGGAAGTAACGAAAGTTGCAAGGACAAAAGACATGACATAAGCCATAGCTAATTAAGGGGTGGGCGGCCATTCATCACACTCGTCGCCAGTGAACTCAATGCCCTCCGCTCTTCCTTGCACGCTGTGACTAACGCCCTAAATGCCCTGTCCACGTGCGGGTCATTTCAGTTGGCAGCACGTCTACGGAGCGAAAACAGACAAAACACATAAACAAATATGTCCCAGGAAGTCAAAACATGTACCCGGATCTCTGTCTAAATAAATGCAAGATAATATTTGCTTTAGACGTTTATCGTGAACAATCAACAAAACGTTGAACGTAATAAACTAGAGAAAGAAAACAACGGGAGTTAAATAAATGGACGTCAAACCTTAGAAAAAGGGGGCACGTGCGGTCTGGCAATGGTACACACCGGGTTTATTGTAGTTTGGCCTACAAGGGTCGTAGGTTTTGGGCCGTCGACGGAAAGAAAGAAAAAAAAGAAAAAGAAGAAAAAGAAAGAAAGAAAACGTCTGGTCTGGCCAACACGAACGGTAAACAGGATATTCTCGGAAACAGATAAAAGACAACACCCATAGATGAAAATGGCGATAGGATAATCTATGCTGATTAGGTCCGTAGTAAAACACGTCTTGTCTCAGCTATTCGAATGCAGTATAACGAGGTTCAACAATCGTTCCCTTGGACTGAGAGCGTGATGTACTTGCGATTAATGTGAAGGCGATCTTTTAAAGTAAGTGAAGGAAATTATCAGTATTCAACCTACGTCGTCTGTATTCAGTCCAGTGATAATCGGTGTATTTAAACAAGCATTCACCTGATTTCCATCTGACACAATCAATGACTTATCAATGAGCCCCTTAGTATCGAAAAAAAAGTCAGCGAGTTGATACGGCCATTTCTATCCTCCAAAAATTCTAAAGAAACAGAACACCCAGAGACAAAACAAACAAACAAACAAAACACCCATAAATAAAACCATTTTTTTCTAACCCTACCAAGATTTAACAAGCTGGGAGGGAGTTCCAACACCTTAGGTACTACGAAAAAATGATTGATTTATGGCCCACGCACTCCCGACGGAGAGAGAAAAAACTGGCCAACCCATTAAATCTACGACAGGTTGGCATCAATCAGTCCTATTCCAAGAAGGTGGTTATATTCATCTCTTCCTGGATGTGAACTATCGAAAGACTATTGCACGTTGGAAGATCTTCGACCGGTGGGATTTAAGATGAGAATGTAGTACGTGGGATGCATACTTAATTATGCATTTGTAAGATGGTTTCGTATCTTTAATAATTCACTGAATTGGAAGGTCCCTTTTGTATGTTTTCAGCATAAACAACAACAACAAATAACGGAATAGAAATAGAAATAAACACAAAGAGAGGAAAGGGGGGACCAGGATATGGCTAGCATGACAGAAATTCAATGCATGCCATGGTAGTCTTGCCAAGTAAACTTCACGGTATCTTATCTATAATCAGCGAACGTTCAGATTTAATGATATTGTTTTGATCAAATACAAAACTCTTATCGTTAAGCCGTGGTACAAGTTACTTCGTCCCCATCTTCAAAAAGAAAAATTTTCTACGACAGAGAATGCCGCCTTTGGTACGATTTGTTTTTACATTAGTTACTGCCAAGACAGTTAAGAAGAAAATGGGATCTCTCCTTTAAACGGATGGTTAACTTAGGTATATTTTGAGGTCCCTCCTTCAAATACCCGAGGGACTGATTCGGAAAGGGGACATTCTTCTGAGATATAAATAAATTAATTAACCGAAAACCTCGAATTCTTTGAAGAGGCTTGCTTTCAAATCAACAATTTTCGCTGTTTAAAAAAAGGCCATATGTGAAAGGTACATGATAATAATGATAATAATAATAATAATAATAATAATAATAATAATAATAATAATAATGGTAATAACAATAATAATACAAAAGAAAAAACGCAAGATCATTCCTGGGCATTCAAAAATAGCTTGGCCATTTTCTTCAAAAGATCTAAACCACACTGTTGATTATATAACATCAATTACAAGATGACACAAACGTCCGTCATAAAACACCAGACGTAAATACATGAATCTTCGATGTACTGTACATATTTACCTTCAAGAGTCGTAATGCGGTTGAATATGATAAAACGGAGAAACAAACATAATTTACTATTCAACATTAATTGTTATGATACTGTATCGTTCAAAAGGTTAACTACAGACGCGAGAGACAGCTGTTTGACTGATGAAGTAAGTCGGAAAATAGTAGTATGTGTAGTGCGTTTATGAAGGAACGAAAATTTACTGTGGATTGTGCGTAATTGTAAGTTAAGATTTGATTAGCGTTCGTTAAAGGGATTTGGAGTGATTTTTTTGTCTTGTAAGAGAGAAACTCGTCTAGATGCAAAAAAATATAGGACTTTAAAATATCGTAAATACCAGTTCTTCCACCATCAACCACTCCCCATTCCCCCCAAAAAAGAATAAATAAATAAAATAAAGAACGAAATATGAATTTTATATATAAAAGATAAGAAAAAAAAGTAATCGGAAAAACTTGCTAGCTTCCTCCACCCCTAAACCCTCCCCCTATCACTCACAAAAAAAGGAAATAATAACAACAAATAAACAATGAATTAAAGAACCTCCCCCACCCCAAACCCACCCCCCATCCCCCCCAAAAAAAAAAGCCTGAAAAAAAAAAAATCAACAGAAAACGCAACTTCTCAAACCTAC